GAGAGAGAGAGAGAGAGAGAGAGAGAGAGAGAGAGAGAGAGAGAGAGAGAGAGAGAGAGAGAGGGGGGGAGAGACAGGTAGTTTCTTCGTTAATTTAAGAATTTGCCTCGTTAGTCAAATCACGTCCACCTCGTTGCCTCGGCGCCAGTGGATACAATTAATTAAAAGTGGTAGCTAGGTGCGCGCACAGGCTCTCGCGCGAAATCGAATTACGAGGCGCAGCTCAGGAACTTCTTTCCGTCTGCGGACATCGTTTCTTCCGGATATCGATGACGATTAATTAGCGCCACGACTACCAAACCCCTGAGAAAAAGAGGAAAGAAAAGCGACACCTTTTCCCCGTCGACAACGATGAAATTAAGCGAATCCGACCCGACCGGCTGAGGTACGCGACAAGCGGAGGTAGAGATATGAGAGCTGATATTATAATCTCGCCAAGGTGTAAACCGTCATGAATCATCCCGGTGGATCGTGTCGCTCCTTCTTCTTCTCTTTCTCTACCTTTTCGACGCTCCGTCGACGCGACACCGATGGTTTCTTCCGCCGCAAAGTATTCTTTTTCTCTCGTTTTTTCCCCTATTTTTACCGAGAACACTACTTATCTGCGCACTTGGCGTTTTATCTTCCGGCGCTTCGGCTGTGAGTCAATGCGTACAGAGTGTTTCGCTTTTCAATTTTTACGTGTCTCGCCGCCGCGTTGTCTTCGCGTCGCCGCGAAGGTGCGCGGCGACATACCTGAGTCGAGATTGCGAGTCAAGATTGATCGAGATTCTGCATTGACCCTGCAAATTCCGTCGAGCTAGTCAAACCAACAGGGAATCTCGAGATATAACACTGCAGAGACTATTGTCGTATCCTGGCACAATTACTTGTTATTGTCTACGTGTTTCTCTTTTTTCTCTATTTTAAGGCCTGAAGCAGCGCTTGTTTCAGAATAAATCAATATTCGATCACCCCAATATTCTACCTGTGTCTGCTCTTTATTTCTCGTTTCAAAGAGCGGCGTATTAATTACACGCCTTATTTGATTAAATATATAACGTATACAATAAGCAAACGTTAAACATTTATGGATAGATAATGTAGGAAAATAGAATGGCGAACTGAAATTTTTCCATAAGACACATATTTGACATTTTTTTCATATCTGCATTATTATCTCTTATCGGCATAGAAAATTTCCGTGGCATTTGAAGATAGTAAGAGGAAAGGAAAAGAATCTGCCCAATAATAATGCAGAGCATCAACAGAGATTTAAATTTGCAACCAGCACAACAACAAAAGGAATGAAAAAAGGCGTTAATAAATTTGCGACATGTCTGCCTTCGAACAGATTCTAAATTTCTACTCGGGTATCTTCTCATTCTCGACGAGATCATCAAAACGTCAATGAAGAAAGTCAGGAATCTAATTATCAAATGATTTGACGTACCTGGGAATGTATAACGTATCGCTGATGTATCTCGAAGCTCCGCAGTCTACATCCTTGACCTTCCCGATTTGGCAGTTTCGTCGTGGCACATCAGATACTCCCTCGTGACAATGACACTGACACTCGCGGAGACACAATTCGATTGGTAGAAACACGTGTTAATAAAAGTGATGCAGTCCGATTAGCCCCTTCGCTACCAAAGGGATATATGTATGTTTTCCCCACTATTAATAAATCTTATTTAATCGAGTGAACAGTTTCTTCAGTCAGAACACATCAGCTATTACTTTATTTGTTACCGCACATTGAAATAAATATGCCCTCCCAAAAATCCCAGTGCAACATCAATGTCCCGGCTGTATTCCTTTGGCAAACATAAAACTAGATTTTTCTGCTAATGAAGTGGAAGTGAAAAAAAAATTATACCTCTAAAAAACAAAATTGGTAGCGAAAGGATTAAATATATTTCAGGAGTTTACGGAAATAATGAACTCACTGATACGTCCGCTCGCGTCGCGAATATGTTCGTTACTCATCGGCTCGACGCGACAAAGTGCGCGACGCGCGAGAGTACCAAAACAATCGGCAAAAACGACAACAGTCATCGCCCGCCGAAACGACGCTCGAATACTCGATAGCTGAGAGATCAGAACAATACGCGCAAATCAAAACATTCCTCTCGCAAACTTAGAGTCGGTTAGTCTTACCTTCTCTAGCGTTTTTTCATTACGTCTCGAGGCGCCGAGCGACGCGCACGTTGCGAAGCACCTGTATCGATATATTAAATATTATTTTCGTTGACTCTTAAAACTTTTAATCGGTTTCCCGTTTACATCGAGTTCATTAACGCGCGTATTTCTCTGCGATTGCATTGAGCAACTACGCGAGTGTCAGTGTCAGTGTATCAGTCTCAGTGCCATGACAGGACATCCGGGAGCCAGGATGCTAGGATCAGTGAGCCGGGACGGAGGAAGCAGGATACCAGGATGCGGGCAGCGACACATCATACATTTCCAGGTGTGCGAAATAATTTATTATATCGAATGTTCCCGGCTTTAACGAACCTACCATTTGACGAACCTACCGCGAGTAAAGAAATGCCCGAGTCGAAATTTAGGCTAATATTCATAGTTGGACGTCATTTGATAAATCATAGTTTAACAATTCTAGTTTCATGAATCTCTGACTATTTGTCAACCTTATTACTTATTTTATACAAAATGAGATATTCATACAAACAAAATCGAATAACGGTTTATGAATAAGAAGCTATAATCTCGCAATCGAAGATTGTAAATAATTTACAACTATGAATATCGGTCTTAAAATCTAGTGTAAAATTTGCAACTGATTTTCACGTCTAATAATGCTTCTTTGGCCGCGAGTCCGATCTTGTTGACGTCAGTCAACGCCTTTTTTGCTTCTGTTATTGCACTGAACTTAAATTTAAATCACTATTGACAAACAGCATTATTAGTCGCATAACTGTTATTTTTGCCTTTTCAGCTTCATATCAATTCTTTTAAAAACTACAAATCTCATCGAAACGTCTATCAAAAAAAAATTAGAAAGAAAAAAAGAGAAAGAAGAAAAATTAGGAAGAGATGAGATTAAATCTTGTTCTTTTACCAATTTTCTCACACACAAATTCTTATTAAATAATTTAACATCTACTTATCTATATAAATTTTAAATATAACCGGCTCGTTAATTGCCAACTGCGTGTGTATATTTACTAATTAATATATTAACGTTGAGATACTAACGTAGATTAATATACTAACGTAGAGAATACATATATTGAATATCTATGAATTCGTCGGAAATTTTAATATTCATATTTATAATACGATTATGTTTTATTCCTAATTATAAGCTAAATAAGGATATTCAGAGTTATTAATGTTTAGGCATTGGTACTTTTATCTTACTTACTTTATCATTTAGTTTCTCTAACTTCTCCACTACTTCTCTGACTCTTTCGATCTTAAGTTTATTCTACAACAGCCGTAAGAATATACAGTAAGACGTGAACAGTAAGTTAATTGATTAATAGGATTCTTACAATTCAAGAATAATGAGCTGTAATTATTCGATTTGCTTACTGCTTATAGAATGGGCTTCAATCTCATTATTTCTTCGCGTTGTTTAGTCTTGCTTTACTACTAGACGTAACGAACCAACGAAAGGACGAAGACAAACAGAGGGAGAGAGGGAGGATAGATTGGTTGTATGAAGAATAGAAACATGTGCAAAAAGAGTAGTCTATGAAATTCTATTAAAATATATTGAGATAATCAAATGTCAAATAATTAAAAAATAATTAAAAGAATAAAAAATAAAACGAAATTGGAATGTTCTTGAACAAATGTGTCTCTTCGAGCTTCTTTAATATCAGTAGCATCAAGGTAAGTTAATAACTCGTACACGTTGGGATTCTTCATTGACTCTTCAAGTTCGACGGGATTTGCAGGGTCAATGAAGAACCGAAATTTTGACTCGAGCACATCGACATCGTACCACCGTTGCGCGAATTACAAGTCCAAAGGGCATAAATCGCGGAACGCACTGCAAAATCAGCGATTTGTTCCGGATTAAAATAATGGCAGCGGCATATTCGAGAACGCGCATTCCTGAGAACGCGCGCGAAATGTCAGATCAGTTTCTCTCTTTTTAATCTTTATCTAAATATTGAGATTGAAAAGCATCGGCATTATTAACCCCTTTCTCACATATTATTCTGCATAAATCTTTAATGATACCAACAGTCTTGGAAACACTAATTGTCTCAAATACAGAAAGCAAGGAGCGAACGGAATTATCGCTGTTTTTGCCGACTTACGGGATCATCTGTCAAGTTTTCGCGTTAAACGCGTGACCTGTGTGACCGTTAGCCAAATTTCTTCGATCAACCGCCGACGCTTTCTTTCGCGTTTTATCCGAGCCGAGGCAATGCCTCTACGCGACGCTAACAAAGATAGAGAGAAAGCCCCGATCGCGCGCGCCGACTCGTCGTCGACTTTTTTTCGCGTTCTCATTACGCCTTCGAGGCAGTACGGACGCGTGGTGCGATGTAAAGAGCACGTAATTACACGGGGCTCGGCGATCGATTCCTCGGGTGGGTAATGAATTTTTTACGACGTTACCCTCCGCAGAGGAAGATTCATCCGCCCGTTCATCCGCGGACGATGAGGGCCGTAGCCGATCGGGCAAAGCATCGGCCCGAATTGAAACGACGTTACGTACGTGAACCTTCGTCCCCCGACCAAAAAAAGCTTTGGTCTCCTCTCGCCGAGTCTTCGCTCACCTGCGCCAAGCGAATACGCGAAGATCTCGCGCGACCTGAGCGAGATGAGACAAAGCATACCCGTCGACATTAAAAGTTGGCTGACATTAAAAGTTACAACACGAATATTTTCGGTTAAATTTCGTTAAGTCCTCAACAAGCGCGAATTAATCTCTTTGGTTAATTAGTCTGATGAGTATTATCAGACCTATTAATTAGTAATTATTAGTAAGTCTAACACAAGTGTTATCATTAACATTATAGTGGAATTTAATTGAGAGATGGTTTCTTCGACCATAATTGGTAATAGTAATTATTTCCCTATGTGATTATAGTTACAAATGTGAAACATTTTTCTCAGTGTGTTACTCATCTCGATGGTAATTGTCGTCGACGATGACGATGATTACGATTTGAATGATTGTAATTTGGTGTGTCAGGTTTTCTTTGAATATTTCTATGTTTTAGCAATAATAATAATCGTTTGTATAATTTATTAACGCGCAAATAAATAGTCCTTAATTGCGTAATAGAAGCAAAAATAAGAGATAAAGTGAGAACAGACAGCAAGAAACAATAGTTAAAACAATGATGGTTCAATTGAAGATTTACTTGCTCTTTCGCACGCCCTTACTCGCGTTCTCCACGGACGAAACGTAAGAACAAGTGGCAACGAGACGGCGACAAATAGCGTGACGCGAAAACCAAAATAAACCGGCCTGCAAACACAGGTCTCTTAAAAAATAACGGTCTCTCGCGTGTCGTCCTCTATGTAACGGCAGTGCGACACAGTTTGCCGACACTCGCTCTCGCGCGCGCTCAATCTCGCAACCATTAGAGTGTCTTACGCTTCTTCGCGTGGCCCCCCGTGCGAAAACGATGCTCGACGACGAGCAATCGATAACAGGGCTGGTGTACTCGATAATCGAGGAGGCGGCTGTCTCTCCTCTCTCTTTTACTCCCTCTCTCTCTATCCCGCTTTCGAGTGGCGCGCCGCTGCTTGCCGCCCGCGATCGGTTCGTGTCGAGGAAATTCAGAGGAGTCCCTTCTGCGCTATAAACGCGCTGTTTGCTCAATCTATACCACCTACCTACCTACCTACCTACCTACCTACTACCCCTTACCCGGTCTTGTTCGCCCTTACACAGGGTGAACCAATCGAACAGAGAGGGACGAAGAGAATAGCAGTTCGAGCGAGATAGAAAGAGGGAGAGAGACGCAGGAGGGACCGAGATCTTACGTATATATGTATGTATATAATATATGTATATGCTCGACCAACCAGTCAGTCATCCAGCCAGCCCCAACCGAGCAATTATTATCGATTGAACCTTATCGAGCTATCGGCCCGCTCTAATATGCGTCCGTCGTTTCGTCGAGGAGAGACCAAAAGGATGAGAAAGAGGCGGAGAAAGAGAGCTCGACTGACCTGGACGGAGAGAATTAAGCAGGTGCACAGTTCTCTCTCTCTCTCTCTCTCTCTCTCTCTTTCTTTCTTTCTTTTTCTCTTGACATTTGCGATACATCGTTACAACGCTCGCGTTTTGGTTTCAAGGAATATGGCATCTCGAAAAATCAAACAGACGCGCCAGGTTGAGCTCTAACCAGTCACGACACGAATATCGTTTTCCGGAAACGCGATAAAAGGAGAGAGCCTTCCGTTCTCCGATGTTACCTCTGACGTCGTTCCGTGACCTCCGTCAACGCGGCCCTTGCGCGTTAACTCTTTCACTTATGCATGTGCACCCCCGTGTTGTACACTAAATGTTCTCTCTCCCTTTCTCCCCCCTTTCTCTTTCTCTTTCTCTCTTTCTCTCTCTCTACCTCTGCGCCCTCCGCAGCCGCCATGAATAATCGAAGTGCAAGCAGTTCACAGATTGCACCTCGCGGGCCCCGTAACCCTCGAAAACGAGGCATATGGCGCGAGCGCGATGTGCGCTTGGCCAGGTTGACACACGCCAAGCTGTGTACCTGCGCCAGCGACTTTTTACGACCTTTACGTGGCGCACGAAAGCCCACGTCATGTTGCGCATAAGTTAGATAGCGTCAAGAGAGAGAGAGAGACGGGTCACGCCGGATTATTTAACCCCGTGAGCGAAACGGCATATGTTCCGTTACGGGCAACCCTCTCTTACCTTAAGCGTAGGCGCAGGTTATCGCAATTAACCCACGTCCGGGAATCGAGCCCGTGATACCAATCGCGTATAAAAAAAGACCATTTTTATTCACCTCTCTATCTGGCCCGCTCACTGG